ATCACGAGCTTCTTGACCATTTCACAAAAAGTATGAAATTAATCTGTTGTGTATATGTTTCATAGGTTAGTCATCATATGACCATACTTGTGTCCTTCAACATCATATGCAATACTTTATTTCTCATTGGGGATGCAATCAATCCATGCAGCAACCTACGAGCTAACTTGTAAAAAAAATTCATACCAATATCAAAATCAATCCTTGAAGTGGTTTAGCCTATAAACAACAATATGAATGTTACTAACACATGAATTTATGATTGAAGTTACTTGCACTGTTAACGTATCTATACCTAACTTCATCAATTGTTTCTACATTCTTGATTTTTTTATTGAAATTACTTGCAATATATCATATGCAAAACACATGATATGCTTGAAGAGGTTGCAAACCAAGATCTTGATTATTCACCGCAAATATCATACTTGCATACTGATAAAAAGTAAGACATAAACATTTTCTTTATGTGACGTGCATACATATTAGTGCCAAGAAACATGACCAATTGTCCAAATTCTCACTTTACACAATAACAAATGCAATTGCCAACACATAATTGTTTCCATTTGCTGTTTTTGCAATCAAAAGTGTCTCCCAATATTTACCGTATAGGTGAGTACCATCAATTTGAATAAATGGCTTGCAACAGTTAAATGCATCATAACATTACTTGAATGTCTAAAACACCTGACGAAAAACTGTGACTTCTATCAAGTTGATTATCAACAAAATGGTCATCAACGTCAAGCTTATATACAAAGCCATGTAAAAATTACAATATGTAATCCAACCATCTAGATAGAAAGGCATAAGACTGATCCCGAACTTCAAAAATCTTGATGATTGCTTTTTGTTTGGTCTCTGTGCCTTCTTATATGATTCATGAAAATCGTACATCGAAGCAAAAATCGTCCTGTATTAATCCATTTTTAACATGTGGCTCTTCCCTTATCACTTCTGCAAAACAAAATACAAATAAAGCATTACCTGCATGTCAAACACAAATAAAGAAAGTGTTAAGACAACTACAAACATATACCTATGATCATTGAACAAATGGAATCACAATCGAGTTGTTTGTGATCTTAAGAAAAAGAGACTAGTTAACACAAGTGTGGTTTCCATTCCATTTATCATTAACCCATTTAATGTCTCTCTTTTGTGAGTGTGCCCTCACCCTCCATGGACTATCATCTTTATAATTTTGACATATCATAATCAATCTAGTAGTGTCACTTTTTTCCACAACAGTTGTTTGATATATCTTCATACAATATTGCTTTATTGTGCCATATGTACATCATGCTTGGACTCAAACTCTTAATTCTTATGCAACTCTTGTCCTAATTTCCAGTTGCTCTGATGCTCCCCGTCAATGTCAAGCCTTTCTTGATCTAGGTAAGCATAATTAAAAGGGTTCGCTTTTTCTACAGTCAATGTAGATAAGTTATCTACATTGAGCCCAAAACGATGTCATTTTGAGGCGAAAATCAAAATATTTTTGTAATTATAATTTATTTCAGGGTTATAATAGTCTTTTTCATTATAATTTTTTAATTTTCTAACTCAAAACGACGTCGTTTTAGCAGCGAATGTAGATAACTTATCTACATTCACTTTAGAAACATTAAAGCCTAATTAAAATATGTATAATGTCTATTATCAGCCCAAAATGGAGTATTACTACCACTAATCCGTTCACATAGATCAATCACATTCATAAACTAAATAATGCAAATAGGTTCAATGAATGATAGATTTCTTACACCAACCTTCCACTAAATGTTGACATCCACCAACAACTCCTGGTGACGGAACCTGGGGCTTATTGTGACATTTGTCGGGATGACAAACATACATGATTCAACATCAAAAACACCATTCACATCGGTATTCAATGAGTCACTATCCAAAAGTACATTTTTTCCAATTTCATCCTTATCATTGTTTATGCACTAAGTAGGATCGTATTTGTCTTCCTCGACTGTCATTTGGCTTAAAATTGCTAGAGGTGGAAGGGAGGAGACATACTCTCTTCGTTGTCAAAATATGGGTTCCTATTTTATTTATTGATTGAATTGGAGGCAATGAAGGCACACCTAAAGAGTTTTCACCTGAGTCCACTTACGCATACAAATCAATAAATCTTCTTTGTGACTAACTAAGAAATGTATCTACCACTTGCGTCACATCATCATCGTCAGCAACTTCTATACCAAGCCATTATCAATCACTAGCATTATGTTTAGTCATCAAACGAGAAACAATTGGATTGTCTCTTGTGGATTGTCTTCTTTAAAATATTATAGGTACAATGAGGACTGATGCACACTTGAATCATCTTAAAAAATGAGACATTCGAGATCGTAGTATTTTCTACCATTGTGGTACACAACAATCATTAATGATTCATGATTGGAACTCATTTTTGGAATTGTGTGGGGTAAAACAGTGACTAAGATTATAGAATAATTATACTATAAGAGTATAGGTATATAGTTGACAATTAATAAGTTATCAACTATATTAGGGGAGGGGGTCTATATAGGGGATGAGGGTAGCTAGGGTAAGGTTGGACGGACAAATACCATTGTGCCACATAGCAACATCCTATGAGCCCAACTGGGTGGGGTAGCATATTTAGGGTGTTAGGTAAAAAGGACGACCACAAATTTGTCATGTGGTGCAGCGTCCAAGTCTCACTTTCATACACAATAGAACCTATTACCGTTGGGCTAGTTCTTGTTGTGTTTGACCTAATAGCAAGACTATGGCCATGGCAAATTGAAAAATAATTTTAAAAACATGATATTTTAATATTTAGATTTTCAAAATGTGGCAAATGCTTTGTTTTCCTTCTTCACACTATCTCCTTAGGTGCCCAAAATTCAAATCATATTCACATCATATGCTATTACATTGTTTTTTATGTTTAGTTAATTGTCCTTCTTTATTAAAGCTAAATCTATTTTTTTGGGTTAATAAATGTTAGCTAAAGTGTGTTGTATTATACAATAAAACTCCGGTTGCCTCATTTTTATTTTTTCAGTATCGACCTGGTAATTAAGATTTGGAATTATGGTATAGGTACATAGAATTGAACCAGACCAATGCACACATTGGACTATATCAATTTAAATTTTTAAGAAATAAAAATAAAAGTATGTCAAATAATTTTTAACAATGGTTAACTCCATAAGTTGGTTTAACTATAAACAAGCATGTAATGTATGAGTAAGCAGAGTGTCATATGTTTAAAGTTTACCTAAGTTAATTACTTGAAGTTTAAGAAGAAAAACAATAATAACAATAGTCAACATTTTTGCATATCAAAATGATATTATGAGAACTAAAATTTTCTTCAATTTGATTAATCATTTCCTCTCTCGTTTATTTTGAAAATCTTTTGAACTTGAGATTAATCTGTGCTCAAAACTCAACCACTAACCAGACTAAGAATAGTTGGGGAAAAGTGGCCAAAGTGCCACTGTTAGAAAAAAAAACACCAAAAAGTCACGCCAACAGTAAATTTTGCCAAAATGTCACGTGGCATATTTCGCTACACTGTGTAGCGAAATATGTGTGCAAATAATTCGCTACTCGGTGTAGCGAAATATGTCGCGTCAGAATGCACAGAATAAAAAATGCCACGTGTCATACAGGGAGAATTTCGCTACACTGTGTAGCGAAATTCTCCTTGTGTGACATGTGGCATTTTTAGTTCTGACGTGGCATATTTCGCTACACCGTGCACACATATTTCGCTACACAGTGTAGCGAAATATGCCACATGACATTTTGGCAAAATTTACTATTGACGTGACATTTTGATATTTTTTTTTGGCCAACAGTAACACTTTGGCCACTGTTCCAATAGTTGGAGTCACCGAAAGGAAAAGCACCAAAACGCGCGTGATAGGTCGTCAGAGCTTATATACACATTTCCCATTAAAGAGTCACTTTAGAACATAATTAGTCATTGGAAAAGTCATAAATGGCTCTTTAATTTTAAATTGGGAGTCAGAAGACAGATATGGGATTTTGATCTGAACCGAATGAAATTATTTCAGTTTCTCCGTTATCTAATACACCATGATGTAGGAATGAGTTAAGAGAACAAAAGTGTACAAGTATGTTAGGAGTTTCTACATTGTTATTATTTTCATAAAGGTCTATGTTTCACACTTGACCAATTTTAACAGGGTCAACTTTTTAAATTTAAATTAACAATTTGATCAGAACCAATTTAATATTTTGATAAAGTATATAAATTTAAATATTACGTATGTATAAGTCATAAAATTTTGAAAATATAAAATTAAAATTAAGTTATATTTTCATTTTTTTATGTTGAAAATTTATATTGATATAAAAATATTAGTGTAGTGTATTACGTAAAATGTATTAATTTAAGTTAAAAAGTTTTATAACTCATCATTAAATTTCGAAAAAGAAATATAAGTTTTAAAATATTATAATTTGACTAAGTCAAAATATAAACTCAATATGAATAATTAAGATCATCTCACAAATAAGATATAAGAAGATTCAATCTCGTCAACATGAATATTGTACCATTATGGCATGAAACTTAACTAACAATAAAAAAATATGTTGCAAGAAAAATATTACTAATATTTCTCAATATAAAAAGGAAAACTTCTTAGAGACCCATTCAATTCAATTACACGAGTCACAAACATTTTCAGCTCTTCTGTATCATTAATTTTAAATACGGAATACATTATTATCTATTTTTATTTTTTTAAAGATATTCCAATCAGTTCATCGCTTCGCGACTAATTTGATTCAGAGCAAGTCCCGAAATCAAGACTTTAAACCCCTCTCAAAGGTTTTAAATAAATAATACATTATTATTTATTAAATTCTCAAAAACAACACTTTTGGAGTTAAAATCACTCGAAGTTGGCATGACCTCCAATCCAAATGCCCGTGTGGTTGGACACAACATGTACCATGTCACTGTAGTACTAACGTTGTTTCCATCGTACTTCAGAGTTCATACTAATACAAGGACAATGGATTGTAAAAAGGGATTATTATATGTTGTTCCAATTGCAAAAAAATGTCACGCCAGACAAAAGGGGCAACAAACAATACCCAGCAAGCAACATTATATTTCATTTTACTTGGAGAAAAAAACTTTACATGTTCTCAACAATCCTATATTTGCTAGTTCACTCACTGTCATACCTACAAAAATTCTAGCGCATTGATGAAAAGGCTTCAGCAGCAAGAAAGAATAAGGTCTCATTTTTTACCTGAGACACTACTACAGTTATGTTTCCTGATCTCTCACAGCATGATCTGAGACAGTTCCCTCAGATGACACCTCCCCTTCATCCGGCCGTTCAACCCGTGAGGGATCAGACTGAGTCTTGCTGGAATCTCCACTGTCAGGGTTTTCTGCTTTTTGCTGTTGAGGTGAACACCAAACTTTTGGTGAGATCTGCCTAGGTTTCTTATTTCTGAAGGTACCTTCTGAGTCTTTGAATTTGGCTCTGCCAACCGGCCTTGGCAATGGAAGCTTGCTCTCAAGAAAGCTTGAAGTACCAGAAACTGATGGAAGATGAGGGCCAGGAGCAACACATGATGCAACCAACTGGAGCACTTCAGGCGAAGGAGACAGTCCTGAGCTTGACTTTTTCGACTGGTGCAGTGACGAATGTGATGGGTCTGCCACTTTTAAATTTAGATGATTGAGGTCAGATTCAATCTGCTGAGGTCCTAGAGTTCCTGTCTGAGAAAGTAGAGGAAATGATGGGCCCAAAGGAGTTGAACTTGAAGCACCATTATCAACAAGGTGGCTGCTGTGTAAGTTCCTGCTGGTTCCAGCAAAATCTGGAAGAACCTGGTCGAACTTATGTGATCTTCTCTTTCTCTTCTTGAGACTACATCTGGGGTCCTTTGGTAGGGAGAGAGGTGGTCCAGGAATCACAAATGGAGGAATTGCAGGCTTATCCTCTCCATATAACATGCGAACTGATTGAGCAATGGCTGATACTGTGGGTGGCAGTTCAGGATCAGGAGGTTTGGCAGGGGAACTCACAGTCACAGCTTCTCGTAACCAGTGGGGAAGCTTGTCTTTTGAAGTACTATTTCCAGCTACTTCCACCCCTTTTGAGTGCAAAAAATCAGGTCTAATGGGGTTGGATAACAATCCTGAGCTACTAGATTCACCATTTACTACATTAATGCGATTATCACGCATATCATTGGGTGATCCATCCAGAAGTACAGGCAACTTTCCACGATTGGTGTTTCCTTGGTCATCCTCCTTTTGTTGTATATCAATGCTGCCTGAGCAATTCAAACCTAAAGAACCCAAGCTACTGGTTCCAAAAGAATTGAGCAGAAATGGTCTCTCAGTCAGTGCATGGGATGAAGTCCCTGGTCTATCAGATGTTTCAGCAGAAGCATCTTCAGGAAATTTTGCTCTGCTTTTATCATAACTCCAAGATGGAAGAGCTGCAAAGTGATCATTTTGCAAACTAGCACGATCCAATGTTCTGAAATGGGGTAGACTGGATGCAGAATCACCTATCCCTAATTTCATCTCAGTCAGATGGTTTTGAAATTTTGGTGGCAAAAGAAATTTGCTCCCATGCAAGGCCCTTTCCATCATTCCATCAGAGATTGGAAAATGTGCAGATTTAGCAGCCTTTGTCATCTTGGATGATCTTTGCACAGGAAAAGCTGGCCCCTGAAAGACCTTTACTTGTTCCTCTTCCCACCTCACTGATAAATCTTCAGATGTTTTGTACTTTGAAAACTTTAACTTGGGATCTCTGAGCATAGTATCCCAATTACCCCTGCCATGCCTACGAACACCAATCCAGAGGGAATCAAGTTCGTCTTCAGACCACCCATCTGATTTTGACTTCTTTTTCAATAAATTACTTGATCCAGATCCAGATCCAGTTCTCATCATTATGTTTTCAAGCACCTTCCTATGGTTTTCTGGGAAAGATGAGAATGTGGTTGGCCTTTGTCCCAAACCCAAGGTGGGGGGGAGCGCATCCTTGTCTTGCTGATTATATCTGAATAAATCTTCAGGGGGAATTTTGAAAGTAGGTAATGCTGGCATTGTTGGAAGGTCTTGCATAGATCCATTCAAAGCTTCAAATCTGCCTCCTAATGACAAATTAGGCAAGAGGTCCAGATGTGAATTTGGCATGCTCTTAGATGTTACTGGAAATCTGCCCAGCAATCTTTCATCAAATGGCAGGTTTGGCAGGGCCATCTTCTCCTGAAAAGCAGAGAATCTAGCACCTGAATTTTCAAATGCATCAGATTCATTTCCATGCACAGATGGTGGAAACTGCAAAAAAAAAAAAAAAAGGATGAATCTATTATGACAGATGCATAAAGCCAACCACAATTGACAATAAAATCCACATGGCATTAAGAGAGCATACTGGAACAAATGGGAGACTGTTATCGGGGATGCTATATTTGAAACTTTGCTGTAAATTTTCTGTTGATGCATCTGACAGTCTGGTATTTGTTGCCGTTTCCTTACTTCTGACCTCAGCATCCATGGATGTTCCAGAGCAAGGGGCAAGACTGAATGGAAACTCTTGTCTGGTTCCATGTCTATTTTGTCTCCAATTCAACTTTGAAATGTTACTTTCTGATGATTCTATTTGGTTAGCATTAGGAGCACAAAGTCCCAAAACAGGCAACAAACCGGTAGTAGGCATAGAGTTTGTCATGTTCAGCCCCCCCTTACTATGGTGATTTTGATGGAAAAAGTCGGGTAGAGAATGGCCTGGATTATTGACAGAAACATCAAAGGGACTGCTCAATATATGTTGTGGAAGCTTGATCCTTGATAAGGAGTCAATGTTGCTATTTTGAGCTTCAGAAAGTTGAGTAAATTTGCTGTCCTCTAAGTTGATAGAAGGCCCCTCTTTAACTGAATGCATTGATCCAGCTCCAAGACCTCCACCCTTAGCATTGGCTGGAGAATGCGTGAGCAACTCGGTACCTGGAGGTCCCATAACAGGATGTGATCCTCTAACTGCATTCCTCCGAGAAAGCCGTTCCTTCTGCCGAGCACGGAGTTTAGCACTGTTGACCAATAGATAGTGTAAATATTCAGCATTGAGGGACCATTTAATCATAAAGCTAAACACCATTGCATATAACAGCACCAGCCAGAGGACATGGTATCTCGGTCCGTGTGTTTGAAAATTACCAACTAGAGTGAATAATTCAAAACTCAATCATCAGTACTAAAGGAGGAGTACCAATATACCATGTATGGCTTAATGTTTGAATGTTCAAACTACCATGATCACTTCATCGACAGCATGCAGGACTTAAGAGCTCAGGTAAATCATTTTCAAAAGTTAAAATTACAGTATCAGAGGTTTCTATTTACATATGCATTATTTTTTCTATAAAAGAAACTACCTAATAGAGAAAAGAGAGGAGGAAATCCTTGACAATGTACCAGAAAACTCAAAGAAAAACACACTCCTTAATACAAAATGCTTTCCAATCCCCCTGCATACTGTCAAAAGAAACCCCCTTGAAAGAAGCCTAAGCAGACCACCAAAAAGAATCCATAAAAACAAACTAACAGTACTGAGGAAATTCATCTCTTATAACCTCATTTAATAACTGTAAAGTAATATAGAAATTTCGAAAAATAAAACATACAATTTTGCCTTCAGGGCCCGTCCTGCTGGTGTATATTCACGCTCAGGCTCTGGTTCTGGCTCTTTTTCCTCCTCACCGCCACTCTGGTTCAACAAGTACACCAAGAGAAAACATTAAAAAAAGAAGAAAAAGAAAATAGAAAGACAGAATTTCAACCAGGAAGACTCAAAATGTAGAGAAACTAAAAATACCAAAGCTAAGGAGGTAAAACAGATGACCAAATCTCAAATTTCAATACTGGCATAATCAAGCAAGCAACCCTCAAATTGTGAACAGGGGCCTATTTATAAACACAAACTAATATAATACTAAGCTGGAAATAAATTGGGACAGCAACACCCCTGTCCAAATAAAGAAAGAAAGTTCTAATTTGCAAGATCAAAATTCCCATATCAAATGGAACACTACCATCCAATAGCTATGCATGTTTTTGTCAGGAGAGTCACATGATTACACTGAGAAACCAATTCCACACTAGCTATAAACTTGAAGGTGCCAGACATGTTTTAGAAAGTCATGAACAATGTTAGCAACTGGCGATTCCAATCTGTAATCACAAAGCTAATTTTTGAATCATATAAATGCTTAATGTAATAATTTTAAACTAGAAATTAACTAAACGACTAACCATAAGTCTCAAAAATTAAATTGTAAGTCATAACAAAGTCACATTAAGTAACTGCATAAGGCCTATGTTTCAAAAACCAAAACAGAAAAGAGATATTTAACTCAGAAGGCATAAAAATAGCAAAACGCTATAGACCCAAAACTAATATCTGATGAGAAAATTTAGTGATTTGGAAAAACCAAAAATAATTCTTCTAAAAGCATTTGATCGTTGAGAAAGCTGGAAGCCTAAAACCCAACTTAACAAATCCTAAATTTGATTAGCTTATTTATCTGATAAAGGCATATTTGAGGATATTTTGAGATTTTATGCATTAACAAACCCTTATCATCATCTCCTGCCAGTGGTATCAGAACCAAATACATAATTAGAAAATCTAAAGCTTATTAACACTTGGGCTTTACTTACAAGCATAAACGAAGCAAATTACCTCACTCATTGTTTCACTTGTGTGTGGAGCATATGCTTCCCTATAAGAAACAGCTTTCCTCTGCCGCTTCCCTCGACCAAGAACTGCTTCCTCCTCACTTTGATATTTCTCCCACCTACAAACCAGATTTAATGCACAAGAAAATTTAAGCCAAGACATAATAGTCACAGCACTTAATAGCTTTATGTTGTCAAAATGCAAGGCAATGCCCTTGGTTTACCTAAAATGTTCTAATTTTTATATTTCTTATAATCATAGCTCCTTTACCATCATGTGCTCAAAGAGTTCATTGCTTGCTGTTTCAGTTCTCACAAATAATTATATGTTAGGACCAAGTTGGCTTGAGCCAAAAGGAATATCATGCGAAGGGCATGTCAAAATGCAACCCACTCCTAGGCCTTCTGCCTTCATTTGACCACTTAAGCTTCTATACAAGAAAGCAACTTTTACTAATAGAGAAAATTAAATACAGAACACGAGGATCAGGAAAATTCCTCAAAGAATGTAAAAGTAGGAAAGTGAAAAAAAGAAAAAATACATCACCTCAAAAAATGTACCTAATTTCTCGGCATATCTGATATACAGAAGTCCTTAAAGAAACCGTGAACAGAAACCAAAATAAACAACACCTACGCCTTATCCCACTATGTGGGATTGGCTTAACAGAAACCCACAGACACGAGTAAAACTATCTTTTATACTTATATCATAAAACTCTGGTTTGCATTTCCGGTCATTTCTGACAAGGAGGGATTGTCCTCATCCACATTTAAGAGTGCTCTTCAGCAACAAAGGGCAGCTCTCACCTTTTAAGTTTTGAGTTATGTCTCAAAGTTCTTAATGGTTCTTAAAATGATATTTTTATTCTTATTAAATAGGTGTATTACTTATCCAGCCAACAATTATTCATACAAAACTTCAAATTGTTAAAAGTAAAATATGACATAAAAAGAGGATGCAACCAGATAGAAGCTCCTTACCTCACACGCAGTAGTCTGTCCCATTCATTTTCTTCATTGCCAATCACCGCATTATCCTCTTTCTTCTCAGAATTTTGTGTACCCATATCATCAGTCCCTTGAGGAGGCGATTCACCCACTACATGTTCTTCGGTTGGTTCATCATTCCACTCAAGGGCCTGGGTAAGTTCGAAAATTTCAATCACGATAAGTAATCTTCATTATAACTAACTCTGCATAAGAGCACTGAGATACAATTTAAGAAAAAAAAATGAAAAGCGAAACTTAGCCATTCAATTAACAAAGAACCAAATTTATGAGAGAAAGAAACTTGTATCATATTAAAAATAAATGGAATGAATATACAGAGTATTAAGCACAAAGGGAACAGAAACATCACCAAGTTCCACGATTAGATTGTACACATGTTAACCACAGATGTAACTTCAAAGGACTACATATAGAACCAAGTACAACCATTGAAGATAGAACAGGCAAACTTAAATCATTTTTTAATCATTCAAACTACAAATATGGTTTTACAAAACAAAGATATGTACGAAAGGGAAAAGAATAAGCTACAAGGGAAAGAGAGATGGGGGGATGGGGAAGGTCCTTGTCTAAACACATACATGCAAAACAGATTCATGTCACAAAATGCACCATATGACTATGTTTATTGGTGAGATTTTAGGTTCAAGCCAAAGATTAAAGAAACAATTATATACTTTATCAAGTAGATGATAGTCAATTACTTCACCTTTACTGAACCCAACATATCATTCTCAGAATCCCCTTCAGCAATATCAGTAGAACCATCTTGAAGGTTTGACCGATCAAGCAATTTTAAAATTGCATTTTCATCCCACAGAATCTTGCTGCTGCTATCTGTACACTTATCCTTGTATACGTCTCCCAGACCACCAGTCCTCTTCCGATGTTTATGTTCTATATCTGGTACTGCCTCATCTCTGTTACAATTATTATTTTCACTTATATCTTTCCCATTCAGGCCAGGAGAATCATTGAAGAGTTCTTCAGTTCCCCATTTTATAATATCTTCCACTTCTTTTTGAGACCCAGACTTATTTACAAAAAGTTGATCAAGCATCAGTTTCTTCTTAGCAAGCTGCAAGATGCGCTCTTCAACACTAGCACGAACAACAAGCCGGTATACCAAAAGTCTATTTGATTGTCCAATTCTGTGTGCTCGATTCATCGCTTGGATATCTGCATGAGGGTTGAAATCAGAATCATAGATGATGACAGTGTCAGCTGTTGCCAAGTTTATCCCAAGTCCACAAGAGCGAGTGGATAACAAGAAAACAAATCGACTTTTGTCTTGGTTGAAGCGTGCAATCGCTGCCTGACGATCACCTACAGAAACAGAGCCATCCACTCTCTCAAACGTTTTAGGCCCAAATTCTATGGTCAAATAGTCCTCCAGGATGTCAAGAAGCTTGGTCATTTGTGAGAAAATAAGAACTCTGTGCCCTTCCCTATGTAAAATCTTTAGCATAGAATGCAAAAGAGTCAACTTAGCAGAAGCCTTTATTCTCATTTCATGAAGGAACTCAACAGATCCAGAATCAGGCTCAGTTCCAGGTATGAGATATGGATGATTGCAGACCTTTCTCAGTTGCATCACGATGTTCAGCATAGATTGTTGGGCAACCCCTTTCCCAATATTCCGCAATATTTGATAATTCTTTGTAAGCATTGCACGGTAATATTCAGCTTGGATGGATGACAACTCAACAGGAACCATCCTTTCTGTCTTGGGGGGAATATTCTGCATGGCATCCTTTTTAAGTCTACGAAGCATATGAGGAGAAACAAGTTTTTTCAATTCATCAACTTTCTCCGCAGTAGTAAGATCATTAAATCTCTCCTCAAATAAAGATAGAGAAGGAAATGAAGCAGGCTGTAAGAAATTAAGCAAGTTGTACATCTCACCAAGGTTGTTCTGGAGTGGGGTACCTGTCAACAGTACACGATGTTGAAAAGAGAATGAATTCAGCAAACTGAAAAGCTTACTTCCTGAATTCTTCAGTCGATGGCCCTCATCAACAACAAGAACTTCCCAAGGAACTCCACGCAAATGAGAAGAATCAGCAAGAACCATTTCATATGTAGTTAAAAGCACATTAAATTTATAGGCTTCTGTTCTCTTATTCAATCCACTTGGATCATTTGCATGCCATTCATACTGGCGAATAATGGCTCTTGCTTTAGCACAGCCATGATATTCTACAACATTCACATCTGGAGCCCATAATGCAAATTCAGCAAGCCAATTAGGCATTGTGGAGAGTGGTACCAAGACCAAGCAAGGAAGTGAAACTTTGAATTCAAAATACAATGATGAAATAAAAGCACAAGCAGATACTGTTTTCCCAAGCCCCATCTCATCAGCAAGTATCACATTTTTGGACTTATACCAGCATTTCCGCAACCAGTTCAGAGCCTCAAGCTGATGGGGAAACAAAGAACCACCTTTTAGCTCCTTAGGTTGCTCCGTCAGATTAAATATATCATTTTGATTGTCATTGCTTTTTCTACTTGAATTTTCCTTCGATGCATCCCTTTCCAGTGTCAGGGTTTCAAGTTTATTAAAAAGTGTAATCAGATGAGAAGAATTTTGAAGCACTTGTTCATCTAAACTTTCCCAAGTGCATTCATCATAAGGTAGTCCAGTCCATTTTACAAATGCTTCAGATCTTCCATGTTTGGAAGTACGAAGAGCAAGCAACCGCTGAGGCTGCTTCCAACGCTCCTCACAAATATCTATTATCGCCATCCCATACTTTGCCTTGTAATTTTCTAGTTTTCTCTTTGCAAGAACTTTTAACTGGGATTCAGAAATCCAACTATTATGAATATGAGACTTTCCTACCCACTTAACAAAAAATTCATAGGAAACTTTCTCTCCATTTGGACATGCAGATTCAACCACATTAGCATCCTGAACTTTATTATCAACACTGCTAGTCATTCCCTTCTCTACTTCCACTTCTTTTTGTTTTGCTTCCAGAGAGACAGGTGTTTCACAATTTTTTGCAAGCTCACTGTTATCCTCACTTCTTAAAGCAACATTGATACTCTCCTCTGTCTCCACCTTGTCATTTGTTTTTTCCAAATGTTCAGCAGATACAGCAGAATCATCCTGATCTTTACCATCCCTGGCACAGGAACCTGAATCATCAGTGGCTTTAATCAATGCATCTATGGGATTTCCTTTCTTACTTTCCTTTGTCATTGATCTTCTGTATACGTGAATTTTTTCCACTCTATTAGTGTTTTTCAATAATCCTTCTTTATCAGAACTTTCAATGACATTTTGAGGATCATAAATAAGATTTTCAGCTGATTCAACATCCAAATCATTATCACAAGCAGAATTATCCTCTAGTAGTCTGGTCTGGTTTTCTGATATTACCAAATCGCCAGTAGGTGAGTCATCCACAACGTTCAAAGATAAGTGTCGTAGTGAGTTGGTGTTCTCACCCTGAATTCGACACCCTAGAACCCGATCAACCTGTGAGGCAGATATACAAGTAAAAATAAGTCATGATAGTCACATACGAGAATACCAGGGAAGGCATCTTTGTTAGCAAAGAAATGCAAAACATCTGACAAGCTCTTCTAGATGGTTACCTGCAGAGGTTCAACAATAGCACTGTTTTCATGCATTAAAGTTTCACCCACATGACTTCCTGCTTTGTCTAGTTCATTTGTTCTGTCTTTCATTACCTGAGGGAACTTCTGCATCCAAGCAAAAGCAAATTGTACGTACAGTTAAACACATGCAATAGCATCTCAACAATAATTGTAAATATATTCTAGATCCAAGCTAGTATATCAATATAAATCAAGGATCAGATAGTAGGATTAATATATTTTACCACATTATGCTGCTCCGAAACCTATCAGATTCCTATATTTAAACCAATGCAGCAAACCTTTCATGCTTAGAGAAACACATCTTCTTTTTAATCCTATCCTACAGTCTGTAACTATTATAGTGAGTGACCTGTACTGTTGTAACATACTCCTGATAATATTCAAAATTGCTCTCCTAATAAAAGTGAACGTATTTACGCAGATCATCTCATTCAATAGTTCTCTCCTGTATCCTAGTCATTGGTCAACTGCTAGCTCGTTGTCAGCCTGAACCACTCTTCCTTATTTTCATATTCAAGCTTTACTTTCTCCTAATTGAAAGCTTATAGCAGCTTAGGAGATGGAAAGAAGGCATAGAATTGAAATGTAGGTTGCGAATTAGTAAATGAAAAGAACTTTGAAGATTGAAGGCAAGTCATGCCATTTAAGGACGTTACAGTTGCAAAATGCAACACATGAAAGACCTTTCCTGTGGCCCATTTGAGTCATCGTAATTTAAGGCTACAATCATTAGCTTTTTAATATGTAGAGATCATAAATGCATTCTTAATGAATTTGAAGAGATGTATTTAGTGCCACCAAAACAGAGTGATAATTTAAAACAATCATGCTTTAACAATAGCACTATATCATTTAACATAATCTACCATGGTCCGGGATTGATGTCAAGAGTTAAACTACAATTTTTAAGAGAATGTAAACATGAAATTTAAAAAGCAGTCAAAATTAAATATTTAAATTTAGTAATAAATATATAAACAATATAGCTCTGTACATAAAAATGTCAATAATATTATGCCAGTATTTAGTCATTGTAAATATCAAAATGATATCTACACTTAAACTAACAAGTAAAATAAACTATCTATAGCATAACAAAAAAAAAATGAAGAACTTTATCCAGAAGTAAATATATTTAAAAAATGTTTTACGTGTTCTTAAAAGTAAAATTCCAACAAGAAATTAGAGAGAGAAACAAGCACCTCATCTTTCTTCTGGGCATCAGAATTCTTGTTGCCAGCATCTTCTTTTGATATAGATGCAGAAATGCTATGGGTTATAGACTTCTGCTTCTTGTGTACTTTATTATTTCCAGACTTGCACTTTATAGAAGTATTGACAATATTGACAATTTTTTTCCCCTTTTCAGTCCTACGCATCTTTTGACTAGTATTATCATTAACAACTTTCTGCTTCCTTTTTCTCACTTCCTCTCCACCAGCAGCAATAGCAAGAACAAGTGTTTTTCTCAAAGGCATTTTATTACAAGATATATCACGCTTCCCCTCCAGCTGTCCATCATTTGCCTCTATATTAGTAATTTTAGGAGATAAAACTTCCTTAACAGGTGAAGTTGACTTCCTGTCCGTAGGGGAGACTGTTGGGGACATGTTCAATTTCTTTTCATCAGCATCCACACATGATGAAGTTCCTTCCAAGGAACACCCAAGAGATGGGTCAATTGGCTTGTTGCTAAAAGCTGCATCTAATGGGGATGATGAAGGTTTCTTTCCAAAGAATTTGACCCCCAAAGTTGCAATAGATTTTCCTTTGCTGGAGGACCTTTTCTTAGAAATAAGTTTACTTCCGAAAATTCCAGATACTTTGTTCAGGTTAAGTGAGTTAACTCCACCTTTTGATTTTGCAGTGACAATCTTTGTTCTCGCTCGTTTTGAAATTGAATCCAGGTGGTTTATGGGCTTTAGTTGATCATTTCCTTCAAAGCAGGTTGGACATTGCCACTTCCCCATAGGGATGCGCTTTAGGAGATAAAAAAATAAATGATCGAAAACAAAATCAGATAAAAATAGATCACGAGAATCATCATAGCTTTTTAATTGATAAAAAACACAGTATAAAACCAGCTCAAATGAACATACCTTAAGAGGAGGACTAAGACACTGTAAATGATAAGTGCGAGGACAGCTATCACAGCACAATAAGTTGCCACCAAGATCACAGACCACGCATTCAAAGTAATACTGGATCAAAAGTTTTATAATATCACAGTTAGAGTAGTCAAGTAGAAATAATAAATAAAACCAAAAAAAAATCCATAAATTGGAATCCCAAAAAGTATTACTTATAAATAATCAAAATATTATTAATCGAAAAAATATAGAAGTATGAAAACAAAGGATAAGATGTGCTGCTAAAAAATAAAATACACGACAAACAAAATAAAATGAAATTATTGAGATGACAATGACATCCAACTCCAATCCAACGCGACAATAAAGGCTTTATCCAGACCTTAATTCTTCTGATGTGAGGGCTGACAATGGTCGGAAGTAGCTCCAGAGATGGCCAATTGTTAGCACAGTCATTAAAGCCAAGGGGGGAAAGCAATAAAAAATGTTAAATCCAAATTAAGACATAACACAGTTGGAATAGGAAAGTACCACTGGTTTCTGCACAGTGGCTGAGAATGGAACTGGCAGCAGGGACTTGCTGGAATTGAGGCACTCCTGGAAAGGGAAGAAGATTAACTATTAGAGACACAGGAATGGTGTGAATCGCAGCCAATAGAGAGCACCAGCAGTATGGTTCTTGGTGGGTATAGGTGTTTTCTGCCTCCGCTAAAGATGAGGCAGTTGCAGAGCATATATTGTGGTGTTAATGTTGACATTGAAGGTTCTTCATTCAATGGAAAGGTAATTTGACATCTGGGTATTGGTATCACAATGACAAGAAGGATGGAAATGAGTTTGACATGTTTCTGTTACGCACCAAGGTCGTCCTGTGGTATCCAATTAGCATTTACTAGCTTCCATTAATGAAATAATTAAATTGATAACAATTAGTCCTTATTGGTATCAATTTTACTGGCTTTACCTTTTTAGTATTTCAAATCCTTGTATAAAAGGCCAAATGGCTGAATGGAATAAACAAAAAGAAATTACTTCCTTCCAATTATTCTCTCAACTTCTTCTCTCCCCCAATCAATCTGTCATTCTCATCTATCTCTCCTTTCTCCTCTGTCATTTCTCTGCAACTCTGCCCGCATCTAGAATTACCCTTAACAATTGGTGACTTTATGGACTCTTGCCTCCACCATGCCAGCAATCCATTCTCAAGATTATGAGGCTTAATTGCAAGCAATGCAATAGGCACTTCCGTCGAACAACTACACCAGGGTTTTTTGAACTTTCAAGCCCACCAACTTACAACAAAAAGTCTCATGGACAAGATAAGCATGATCAGCACCTCTTTGCCAACCTCTGATAGGAACCACCAACACTACCACCATCACCAACCAATCCAAGCATCGAGCATCCTTGGCAGCATTCCACACAAGCCTACACCTTTGGATTTTGCACCATCGCAAGGACATACTCTCCACCTCACATTACCACGTTTCTCCCAGAGTTACCATTGGGTTTAGCTTTTCAATGAGGAGCACTATTTTCAATATCAAAACCCACAGAGGAAAAACTACAGCTGACTGCAATGCATCTTGATGTGCTTGTGGGCACTTGGTACCAAGGTATGGCAATTGATAACCTCTTGCCATACTGGGATGCATTTGTTCAAGCCATTTATCACAACCTTGGTCCCTCTAAGTATGACAATCCCACCGCACTATTTTCAATATCAAAGCACGCACCCAAAGGATCAACTATTGCTAACTACAATGCATCTCGATGTGCCTTTGACCACTTGGTACCAAGGTATGGCAGTTGATAACCTCAAGCCCAATTGGAACATATTTGTTCAAGCCATTTATCACCACTTCGATCCATCCGAGTATGACAATCCCACCGCCCTCCTTGCCTAACTGCCTTAGGCTGGCTTCATTCTCAATTACCAAGCTGCCTTCGAGAACCTCACCAGCCAAATCAGTGAACTCTCTTAGAAGCATTTGCATAGTTGGTTTATTTCCGACATGAACCTTTGAGCACGTATGGCAATTCAAGCCCATCAACTCGTGGACTTGCATGACACATTCGCATTAGCACAGATGTATGGGACCCAACTCAGAAAGCCACACCTTAGCAACTGGCCATTTCAACTTTTGACCTCAGCAACACCAAGCCTAACATCCTTGCCACCTCCTGGTCTTGTTGATGACTTCCTATGAAACACCTAATGTAACACCCTCAATTATATATATATATATATATATATATATATATATATATATATATTAGGGTGTTCACCTAATAGATGAAGAGATGCACGCACGACGCGAAAAGGACTGTGACTTAAATGTATCGAAAAGTTCATCCGTGAGAAAAACCTATCCCTTTTTATATTTGGAAGGTCTTCTCTGCATGGAGGACAACTCACTATCGCTTGAACGAATCCACCTAACCCATTCACAAGTTACGTCCCAACTTAAGGACAAGTTGCGTCTCCATGGGAGAAGGAATGTTAAGCACCGAGGTCATCACATGATACCAAATTAGCATTTATTACCTTCCATTAAAAATGATTAGATTGATATCAATTAGTCCTGCTTTGTATCAATTAGGATTAGCATTTATTGACTTTACCATTTTAGTTTTTCAAATTCTTATTATAAAAGGCCAAATGGCTTCATGGAATAAACAAGAAGAAATTAATTTGTTCCAATAATTCTCTAAATCTCTTCTCTTTCTCCCAATCAATCTGTCGTTATCGTCTCTCTGCTTTCTCCTCCGTCATTTCTGTACAATTTTTCCCCCTCTAGAATTACCCTTAACAGTTTCTCTACAAAATTTGCCAACATCAGCAACTTTGTAGAGTGGAATCAGCGGTGAGAGAATTGGATTGACTCTTGAGCTTTCTTTAAGCTAGGATAGCTTGAACCGAAGAGAGGGTATCGCTGCACACCCACTAAGGAGATGCTTTCATGGCAATGCAAGACAAGTTGCATGATTCTCAAAAATTTTGAAGCAGTCGGAAGTGCAGTTCTGAATTAAGCACCCTAGGTCTTAAAAGCATCCTTGATGCATTCAGAGTCATTACCGGAGGGGGCAGCGACTTCAATGTGCTTCTTGCAGTACTCAATGACCTAAATGAGGGTGTTTTGTTATCATTCAGACCAAGGGAATCACACTATCTGCTTTTGGATTGCTCCTGCCTCCTCCTCCTCGAGAGCATCATTGTCAACAAGTAGAAGAACAATCGAAAGGATGAACTAGGGTAGATTTGAGTAGAGGACTAGTTGGGACAGTGATTTCGGAGTTTGGGCTAGTCTATGGAGGTAGCGGTCAAAGAAGATGCCTCACATTACTTATTCACTGGTGAGGAATTTCTGGCCAGATTTCAATAACTGGCTGCAGTCTTCCGGTAGTTGACTAATTTTGGGCTGGCAAACACAATAGTTGGGTCATTCTATGCAAACAAGCCCTCCTGTTGTGCGGGTCAAGGATCAATATGTGCAGGAGAAGAGAGAAAGTAGCCCAACACCCATGAGAAGAGAGAAAAACAGGCTCACTTAACAACTGAGGAAACAGAAACTCCAAAACGGCTGCAGGTAGGAGGAAGAATTAGGGTTCTGGTGGCCGGAATCAGCACACAGCCAAAAGGACAGAAAGATTCGTGAGACAGACACCAGAGAAGAGAAGTTGTTTTTAGGAACTCAGCAGTGGATTGGTGCAGGAACAAGTCACCGAGGACGGTACGCTTTCATACCATATGAAAATTTACATTGTACGCTAATGTGTATCTAGGCTGCACACTGATCCCTTATTTATAGTATAATTACAAGCATTAAATGAGATAATTATTAGCTAACTTGCAACCTAATCACTAACTTATTTACAGTGATCATCATAATTTTAGTAGATTATGTATTTACACAAGTGTTAAATCTAATACATCCTATTTCCAATTACGAACAAAGACAGACTTCTCATTGCTTACCCCTTTTGGACATCCAGAGGCCCCTCAAAGGAAAATTTGAGGTAACAGAAGCGAGAACAAATCTAGCAACAATCATTTAGAATAAGAAAGATAAACATAGCCAACGTAGATTTCAAAAGAAATACTATAAAATATTCAAATTCACAAAATGAACACTCTTCATTAGCCAAGGGCTTATAGCCAGTATTAATAGCAGTAAAACATTGCCTCCCAAAAGGAAAGAATAAATAAAAGTCCAACACAATCGTATAATATCTTAAATTATAATAAAACCTAGCTCCCAAAAGACAGCATAAACAAAAAGCTAACATAATCCCATTATATCCTAAGTTAAAATAAATAGGAAACAAAATAAACCACTCCCCATGAAACCCTAACTTGTGATGGTAGGGGCGACGGAAATCCTTATATCCAGCCTTACCTTTGTATTTTTACCATGTTTCCTGATTTCACATTATATCCATCATCCTTTCTCTACATAGATTGGGTTTCCAACACTTACATCAGAAGAGAAGTATTCCGAACATGGAAGTATAAAAGAATTTCACCCATGGAACTTTTCTTATTTCCCCCCCTTTTTTTATTAAAGGGCTAACTTAAGGTAAACTTGCCTTAAGTAAAAATTAGACATAAAAGGTAACTCACCCCATCATTCCCTTTCTTCTTAGACGAAAATTGATCAGTAGCTACTTCATTCTTCCGCATACGTTTAGCTGAAGCATTCCTAGAAGATTCAGATGTTACTGAATTGTCTTCTTTACCATTGGACTGTTCTTTACCAGAGGATTGATCCAGTCCTAAAGGAAGTTTTCTCCGCTTGCGCTTTAAAACCCAGTTCCTGCTAATCATTTTAGGTGCTGATGATTTGTTTTCCTTCATCGTTATCCTACATAAGCAATCAACACTTTGACCATAAGCATGTCATGAGAAAATGAAAATTCAAGGCATCATAGCTTTTAAAACAGCATTAACCCTTTTGCTCATACCTGTTCATTACACAGCAAACAGAAAACAACAATTACAGGGATGAAGTGTAGCACAAAGTAAAAAAAAAAAAAACACCAAAAAAAAACCGAAATTGCGTCATCTAAAGCTGAGAAATATTCGCATTTGGTCACATGAGGCATCTTCCAGGAGAGATTAACATGAATAATAGCATTACCTTCTATTATGAAAACCATGAATCAATAGCCTAGATCAATCCCATTCCAAATGTTAGGCCACCATTCAACAATTAAATTCATAATAAGCGAAAAACCCTTCAAAGAATATTTCCTAGGCCTAAGACCCACCATTTTCCCCAAAAACAAATATAACATATACATATAAACAGGTAGACAACGGTAAACTACTTGAGATACCAAAGGACTAACAATTTAGTTAGTATACATATTCATTCCAGAGTCAAACTAGGATCAGATTATTCATATCAGCATGGACAGACTACAAAGGAACACTGTCATTGAAAAACTATTGAATGTGCTGAATCTAATAAAGCACATACAACAAACAGCTAGCCACTGTAGGTTCTAGCAGACCACAAAAAAGAAATGTCTAAACACCAACAATTAAATCCAAACCGGTCAAGCATTATGCACATTCAACTAACACCAAGACCCATAATCCCCTTCAAGGGACTACTCAACTCAGAAACCAGTTCAAAATCCAAGTGACAAGCTTGCTCATCAAAATTGCAAACTTTACAGCAAGAATCACAATCACAGACCAAGTGGCTTAAGAATCAAGAGGACTTAAACAAGACACAGCTGGAAAAATTGAACAAAAAGAAAAAGATGCCCACAAAACCCCAATAAACAAAAAAAATTCCCAGCAAAAGAACAACAAAAGAAACAGCAAACAAGAGAAGAAAAATTAACATGCATACATACCAATAATCTCGGTGATGGATCAGATAGCGATATGCAGAGGGATTGCATGAGATTGGAAGATGAAAAAGGGTAAAGTGGGTTTGCAGAAAGGAAGGGTATTAGGGCATGGGATGCGCAAGAAGATGAGAGAAACGAGGAGAGAGAGAGAGAGAGAGAGAGAGAGAGAAGGGGCAGACAAATGAATAAATAGAGAGAGAAAAAGAGATAGCTGTTGTTGTTGTTGGTGTTGTTTGTTGATGTTGTCATGTAGAGAGAGAAAGTGTGGTAGAGAGAGAAAGACACACAAATACGGATTCGCCGGGTTCATAGGACGGGGTTACGCTCTGACATGGCAGAAGAGAGAGAAAGAGAAAGAGATGAGAGAGAGAGAGTGTATCACTCTTCCACTCTAACAATGCCACGTGGCATCACGCTCTTGTGTTGCATTCTCAAAATTCTCACTCACTCACATTGCTCTTTTTTGCATTTGCTTGATCTAAAACAATGATTATTTCTTCTCTCTAATAAGTTCTTTGATTTAACACTCTCTCATGATCACCGCCCTCATTCATCAATTGCTTGCTGCATGTTTTCATGGGGGTGGGTGCCCTTTAACTTTTTGCTTTTTCTTCTTTTTCTAAGATATTGTTGTAGGACTATATGCCCCTTTAATTTTTCCCTCTTGTTTTCTGTCCTCATGTTAGTTTTAAAAAGTTGCTATTCTAATTAATATTATCAAATTAGGGCTTTTCCCTTTTTCGTTTTTTTTTGCCTAATGTGTTCCGGACAAATAGAGTAACGAATTTTGTTGAAATCATAATCAGATACGATTCATTTCTTATGTGATATACTAAATAAGATTTTTTTGTCAAAATAACAATAATGGTAAGTCAATTATATTATTTATACCATATCCTCTTTTTGGAAAAAAAAAAATATTCAACTATTCTTTTTCTTTTTTTGAATACAATATTCAACTATTCTTTTTTTAAATTTTGTCATCAATTAATTTCTAATTTTGTTGGGCGTATGTAAAGAGTGGCTCTCTTGATTTTATTTTATTTTTCATTCCCTAAATTTCAACTTGATACTTCTTAATTAAGGAAAATCTCCAAGCATATTTTTTAATCACTTTAGATAAACATTCTTTTAATTTAGCGTTAAAGTTAAAAAATAATCTTTGATTGATTGATTGCTTAATTTTTTTCGGTAATTAAGTTGATTTAATTCGATTCAAGTACTATTCGGTGGATATTGGAGGCTGCTCTCCAAATATCATTTTCTCCATTCAAACACTTGAATTTGAAAGTTCTAATTCAGAGTACAAACTTCTTGCCTTACATTGATTGTTTAGATTAAATGGAGAGTCAACGTGTAAATTTTACATGACAAGATCATATAAATTTTGTGTGTATCTTTTCTCTTACAAGCATTAAATAGATGAGATCCTATCATATAAATTTTACACATGAAAAGATTGGTTTTTTCACCCTTTTGCTTCTTATTAATTAATTAATAATCATTTTGTCCCTGATTCGAAACTATCTACCAATTTGTCCATCTTTAATCGACTACCTTGCATTTTTAATAGACTAAATGGCCAAAACAAGCAAAAATGGTTGTTGGGAGATTTAATCGACTAAATCTCCCTATTTAGTCGACTAAATCTCCCAACAGACAACAAAGAAAAAAAAGTCAGTATGATTTTTTAATCGATTAACTAGGGAGATTTAGTCGATTAAATCTCCCAACAACTATTTAGTCGATTAAAAATGCAAAGTAGTCGATTAAAGAGGGGCAGATTGATAGATAGTTTCGAATCAGGGACAAAATGATTATTAATTAATTAATGAGGGGTAAAATGGTCAAATAGCCTGAAAAGATTTATTCCCATTTAAATCTCATTTAAATTTTCAAGTGTCTTTATAAACTTACTATTGGTTTTTAGCCATTTAGGTATTTTTGTCATTTTAAATTCTTCATTATTTTTCTTTTATGCCCTAAGTCAATGTGCTGTTTTTACTTTCACCATAAATCACTTAGTTATAAATTTACTTTTACCTAAAATTAAGATTCTAAAATCAAATTTACAAAAATATAATACAAACAAACATTAAACATTATATTTGGCAAGAGAAATTAAAAGATAAACTAAGGCACTATGTATAAGAGTGTAAAGCATTGTCACTAGCTCAGTGCACCCATTTTGAGCCATAAAACCAACACACATATTGGCCTCACAAAGGATATGGGTGATCTTGACCTTTGCTTCCTCATTCAAGAAGTCCTAAAGTCATCAACACTGCCCTATGATGGTGAAAGCCTCTCATCTCAACGTGTGTGCCAACCAAAATACTTAATTAAGGAATCAAACTCACACAAGAAACATGAACATAATTGGAGACCAATGAGAATAAGCAAATAGAGATTGGTACTTAATCGAGTTTTTTATTTCATTTTTATTATAATTAAGGATATGGGTGATCTTGACCTCCCTATCATTACTCACTTTGTAATAGTGAAAGCTCAGTTTCCACGAGTGCCCCAACCGAAGTGATTCTAAGGAATCAAACTGTAACACCCCCAAATTTCTAACAATTTTAACAACAATAAAATATTCCTATAATAGAGAAAATTTTCAAAAAAAAAATAACATTTAACTATTTATTAAGATCTTATATCTATTGCGGAAGCTAATCTAAAACTAATTTGGAAAAATGTTACCGCCGCACCTGTACAGGGACAAGTGCAAGGCTCTTTATTACATTCATAAATATAACAATAAAATCAAAAATATGTCTTATACATAATATTTAGGATTAGCAAAAAATCTCTGAGTAGTTATTCTCACTGCCCACTTCTAGCCCGATCCTTTGTAACTTGATTCAAAGGAACTCTGCTCCCCCGCAGCCACGCAGGATCATTGCAGTCAAACAAACACAAAAGTCAGCAAAACTGGCAATCCAAATCCGATATACAAAAATAAATAAATAAATAAAACTCATAATAATCCAATAAACTAATATAAATCAAAAATTCAAATCAAACATCAACTTGTTATTAATTATATTAATCTTTATTTAATCCATTTAATCCATTTAGAAAGGGCAATTATCAACTAACATATTCAGCACAACATTAATCATAATATTACATAAATGGTAATATTCACAATTCAATGACATTCATCATAATCAGATCAAATAACATTTTATTATTAATCATGTTTAAGTTCATTGTACTTAGTGGGAAGAGAACCATGGTAGACCCGGGAAACCCTGCCAGTCTACCCTGTGACCCGGGAAACCCTGCCAGTCACAAACAAATCACATTGGCCATAATCAATTCACATCTTCCTAGTGTGCACACCTCTTCCCAAAGTTGCTACTAGTATCCCGGGAAACCCTGCTAGACACCACTTTGGGAAGAACGGATATAATCTTTTTCACATCAGTTTCACATCGGATTGTGTTCATCACTTTGGGAGGTACCATCCTATAGCTATCCTCCCACTATTAATTTATTTCAATCACACACAATCAATCCAATCATGTAACAATTCTCCTAATTGAAAAATTTCCTCAAGTATAATATACATATCGATTTAATCAAAAGTATAATTTCCAAATTCAAATTTTCAAGAATATCATAATTATAATTTCAAATATTCAAGAGTACAATTCTAAATCAATTATCCAAGAGTACAATTTACAAATAAATTATCATAATTTCCAGATCAAATACTAAATATAAATAATTGTATAATTAACCTAAAAATTAAACCCAACGATGTTCTCAATAATATTCATATAATTAATCTAAATTTAATATAAAACGAACGTAAGAGCACCTAGAGATTAAGATTACATATACCAAACTTCATATCAATATAACCTATGACTCTCTAGGGATTAGGATTACCTGGTCTCCGTTTTCGCTAACTTCTAAAGGGAATAATTTGGGGCAGAGAACCCGGTTGATAATCAGAAAAATATAAAAAAAAATGAATATAATTAAAATAAACTTTTTGGAGTGAGAAGAGAGAGTAGTAGAGGAGAAATGTTAAAGAGTGAATTGGTTTGGTTAGGCTAGACCTCTATTTATAGTTGAAGTTTTGGGCTTGAGTATGGATTTCGTGCAATTATTTCCTTATTCTTCATTGATGTATCTGGCTCAGATATTGGCTTCATACACTATTTTATTATTAATTTCTTATGGCTCAGATTACAGCTAACTTATTTGCAAGGCTGACTCATTATTGAGTCATCATATCTAATCAAATTACCAATCAACATTACCAATCAATCATTACCGATCGAACATTACCAATCAATCATTATTAATCAATCATTATCAATCAAACATTACCAATCAACATTAATACATAAATCATCAATTAATCATAATTTATCATCTAATATCTTTATATATATATATATATATATATATATATATATATATATATATATATATATATATATATATATATTAAGATTATTTTATTATTAATAATTTAGAGTATTACAAAGTATCAAAATTCATTTATATCGCACAAAATCATTTTATCAAAAGTAAGGTTTATATTATCATTTGTTATCTATAACCATCAAATATATATATATATATATATATATATATATATATATAAATATATATATTATTACTACTAATTTATTATATTATTATTATTAATTTATTATTATTATTATTTTATTAATAAAAATATAGGGTATTACATTCTACCCTCCTTAAAAGAAGTTTCGTCCTCGAAACTTAAAAGTTTGAGTTCCTCAAATTAACTAAAAGGCATAAGGTTAAAGTTAATAAAAATATGGGGTATTACATTATACCCTCCTTAAAAGAAGTTTCGTCCTCGAAACTTAATATATATATATTTTTTTTGAAACCCCCTTAAAAAAAAGTAAGCAAACAACAAAGAGTCATGCATAACCAAGCAAACAAGAAAATATAGAATATAATAAATTTAAAACACTACAAATTAATAAATTGTTAACTTTAACCAAATTTTTTTTTCCGAAACTGAATATCTTCTTTAAATAAATAGAAATTTTTATTCATATATTATTTTTCATTTGTTAGAAAAAAAATTTATCACTTCAAGAACAACTATAAAAGAAAGCTAATTACTTTTATAAAAAT